CATCCTTCCCGCTGCTCACCAGGGCCCAGAGCACTGGATCCTTTTTTGGGCTCTAGAGCGGAGCCATTTTTCAGCAAGGTTGGGTTGCAAGGGCAGCAGGGTGACCTGGTGATGGCTTTAGCACTGGACACATGGGGACACTGATCCCCTTGCTGCCCTTCCTGACCCTGCAGCCCTGGACAACCCCACACCCTGGACCCTCTACCTTCTCCACTTGCTGAGGTTGACATTAAGTGCTAAAAAGGACAACTTCTGCAAAGGGCTTGAGCATAGAACAACTCCGTAAACATCTGGTGATGAAATGAATAAATGAATGCTTGGTCTATGGAGTTAGGAAATTTATTCTGTCCTTTCCAGGGAGGATTTGAGTTCCAAAAACGAAGACAGGCCAGGAGTTGGTGACTCATGCTTATAATCCCAGCACTTTGGGAGGCTGAGGCAGGAGGATCACTTGAGGCCAGTAGTTCAAGACCAGCCTGGTCAAAGTAGTGAGACCCCATTTCTATTAAAAAATTGGAAAATTAGCCAGATGCAGTGGTATGCACTTGTAGCCTCAGCTACTCTGGAGACTGAGGCAGGAGAATCAGTTATGCCCAGGAGTTGGAAGCTGCAATGAGCTATGATTGTGCCACCGCGCTCCAGCCTTGGTGACTAAGACTCTGTCTCAACTAAAAATAATACTAACAACAATAATAATTTTAAAAAACAGAAGAGGGAAAAGGCAATACTTCGCCCAAAGAAATGGACTTGTGGCAGTGACAGTGGGCATGGGAGAGAGATTTGGTGCCAACTGGCCTTCTAAAACCCCTCAAATCACAGTGCGTGCCCCTTTGTTTTGCCTGTGACAGCTCTGAGCTCTCATTATGGAGGAAAATCCACATTTGTATAAAGTATACCAGCAATGGTCTTAGCTGTATTTTCTCATGCAGTTATATATTTCCATGTATGAGCTCCTGGGGAGCAAAGGTGTATGCTGTTCCTCACTGGGTATCCAGCATCTAGTAAAAACTATGGATATATATTGCCTGAAGGAAAAAACCAACGCTCTGGCTGCCTTGTAGGATTTTTGTGTGGTTTAGAGAGAACGTGCAACACAAAGAAGCTGCCCCTTCTCTTACAGAAATGGGATGAGGGAAGGCACGTTGGTGGCATGGACACAAACAGTGGGATGACCGTCTTAAGAAGCCAGGGACAGTACCAGGATGCCACACCTAGAGGAGGGGCCTCCGCAGTAAGACTCCACTTTAAATGACAGTGAGGACTTAATTCTCTCACTGAGCCCTGTTTTGGGCACACTGTGAACTTCTGCACAGCAGGACCTTATGATTCCTTGCCCTTCCTCAACAATGCCTCTTCCTGTGCCGTGCTTATAGCTGGTGCTGAATAGGTATTTGTTGAATGAATCCATGAGTGATACAAGAAAGTATGCCTTCCTCTCTCCTCCCAGTGGAAATTTCCCAGAGCTCAAAGGCAAAGGAAATATTTGGAAGCAAATACGTTGGAGAGTTTTAGGACAACCAGTATTTGGAAGAGGCTGCTAGCCTGACCTTATCCGTGGAGCTTCGTTCTTCCACAGAATCACTAAGGAAATGGCACCATGTGCTGGATGACTTCAGAATGCCAACCAAGCTGAAATGTGCCTTCCAACTTCTTTCTTTCTTTCCTTCTGTCTTTTTTTCTTCCCCTCCCCTCCTTCCTTCCTTCCTTCCTTCCTTCTCTCTCTCTCTCTGTCTTTCATAGAGATGGGGTCTTGCTATGTTGCCCATGAACTCCCGGCCTGAAGTGATCCTCTCATTCATCCTCCCAAAGTGCTAGGATTATAAGGCAGGAGCCAACACATCCGCCCCCAAAGAAGATTTCTTAGCACAGAAATAACACAGTGAGCTATGCTCCTTGAAAGATCTCCTGCAGGGAGCAGCAAGACTGGAGGGAAAGTGGGGAGACGAGGGAGAAGTCACTACAGAAGCCCAGACCAGAGGGGATGGTGCTTAAATAAAGACAGTGAAGCAAGAATGGGTCAGGAGGGGTGAATCTGAAAAATACCTAAATAGGGTAAAATCAACAGGGTTGATCATTAAGCATCAGTGGCTTAGAGGGTAGCCTCCCAAAAGACAAGTCCACCTGAGATTTGTGAATGTGATCTCATTTAGAAAAAGGGTTTGTAGGCTGAGCGTGGTGGCTTACGCCTGTAAACTCAGCACTTTGGGAGGCTGAGGCAAGTGGATCACCTGAGGTCAGGAGTTCAAGACCAGCCTGGCCAACATGATGAAACCCCACCTCTATTAAAAATATAAAAATTAGCCAGGCATGGTGGTGCGTGCCTATAGTCCCAGCTACTCAGGAGGCTGAGGCAGGAGAATTGCTTGAACCCAGGAGGCGGAGGTTGCAGTGAGCTGAGATTGTGCCACT